CACACACACACACACACACACACACACACACACTGCTGAAGAGGTGGGGAAACCTTGTCTTGGACTGAGTAAATAAGGTAATAACAATTTGGTCTGTTATCTAAGAATCAAAGAATCGGAGAGAGAAGCACTGAATGCATCTCTCATGTCTTGTGCATGCAACTTCAGGTTTGCATAGCTGTGACGTGCTTTCAGATATGCCTATGAGACAAGTAAGTCCTTGTGTCAAACTTAGAAGTGGATCAGGTTTTCTGATGGGATGTGTCCTGTCCCCACCTTAAAAAATGCCTATTTTCCAAAATAGAAACACTGCATAGGAACATATTGATTTCAATGAAAATTCAACAGAAATCAATAGAAAAAAAATGTTGCCTCTGAACACCCAGCTGTACATGAACAATTTATTTCATTGAGGCAAGAAACTGGCAGCAGTCATAACTTTTAGTCACTACAAAAATTACCGTATCCATACTGGTGACCTACCCTAGGGGCACTATACAATATTACAAGTCTGTTGAATGCCTGGACATTCCTCCATTCTTCATTTTAAAATCAGCACCATAATAATCATTTTCAAATAAACTTTTCCATTAAAATGTACAAGGAATACACATAAGTCCATGGAAATGTTCACTTTCAGGGGTTAAACATGGTTAAGGGGGGGCGGGGTTCAACCACTGATTCCAAGGAAAGCAGGATCTGGCTTGCAAAATGCATCTGTTTTGACAAAGTAACTAAAGGGAAGTCTTACCTTTTTGACTTCATATTTAATGGCAAGCTTAATTCTGCTCAGGCTTGGGCGATGATGCTCAGAGCAGACTTGTATGTTCACATCTCCGTTCAGAATAGCCTCTACTTCTTCCGTATCCCTGCAGAGATCCAGCACACCCACAACAAAGTCCTTGCATTGCATAGATAACTTCCTGTAATCGTTCTAATGAGACAAAGAGAAACCAATGTCATTTGATGCCCTACTTTGAGCGAGTGACACTTATCCGTGTGCAATTTAGGGCTCGCAGAAGCCGTGTGAAACTGCCAGGTTTGATTTGAGGAAGATCTGTGGATTCCACAAATAATAAGCCATTGCCTTCTCCATCACTTAATGCACTATTTTGTGGGATATAGGGAAAAAGTTCAGCCCTCCTCGTTCAGATTGCATGGTGACGTGTGCTGAATGATAAGTTGTTACCACGAGGTGCCATGGATTTGCCTTTAATGACTGCAAAGCCTGAACTTTCAGGGTGTAATGACAATTACACACTTCTGATCATTCTTTTTTATTTCACCCAACAACATTTGACTTTCTCCAAATTTCACAATATGTGTATTTCCATTCCCTGCCTCTGTTATATCCTGAAAGGAGGAGAAAAACATCTCTGCCATTATTAAACAGCTCTCCACTATTAAAACTGAACTGAATACATTTTTAAATCACATGGACAAAGTTATTTCACATACCATGTGAAAATATGCTGATCAAACTGGTGGATCTTTTATTAAATACTTAAATGTTTAAACACCATTATTACATTGGTCTTACACACTTGTAACCCATATGATTGTTTTATGTGTACAATAGGCAATATATTTACATGTGTGTGTGGTTTTATGTACATATAAACTCACAGACACACACACAATCCATGTGTGGAGGAAATATGCTCTACTGCAATGACAACAGGAAGCAAAAGCATTGCTTAGAGGAATATGCTTTCTGTTAAGGGAGCCCAAGCATTGACTTGGCTTTGAAGAGAATGACAGATGCAACAGCAGGACTGGAAGGAAAACTAAAATGATAGTGAGCTGCATTAAAATGTCACTTTGTATTTGGAGATCAGAGAAATGCTTAGGCAAGCACTACACCTCGGTGTAGTACTTATCACTTCTGTATTTTAGAATAGAGAAGCAGAGATCTGGGAAAGGACCTCCTGGGATGTCTGGTTTTACAAGCAAACATGTCATTTAATCCCTTGTATAAGCTTTTTGGGCTCCACCTTAAAGATAGGTAGGTCCTCCACCCTATTTCTCCAATGCTCAGACTGACAGAGCTTCCTTCTCTAATAGTTAAGAACCTCTAATTTTCAGCCTAACTTTATTTGCGGCTGGCTTATACCTCTGCGTTCTTCTGCGGGCATCATCCGGTAGCTTACATTGGTCTTTTCCCTCCCAGGTGTTTCTCCCCTGATCTATTTATACACAGCAATCATAGTTTCATAGTTTCATAGTTTCTAGGGTCAGAAGGGACCTGAGCAGATCATCTAGTCCGACCCCCTGCCATGGCAGGAAAGAGTACTGGGGTCAAACAACCCCAGTAAGGTGGTCATCCAACCTCCTCTTAAAAACCCCCAGGGTGGGAGCCTGCACCACCTCACTTGGAAGCTGGTTCCAGACTCTAGCCGCCCTGACCGTGAAGTAGCGCCTCCTGATGTCCAACTTAAACCTTCCCTCCGCCAGCTTGTGACCATTGTTCCTGGTCACTCCTTG